TACAGTATCTACAGTAAACTACAGTATCCCTAAGACAGTCCCAGTCTCCAGAACTGCAGTACCAGCTAGCCTACAGTATCCACAGTGAACTACAGCAACCTGTAGTTTACTGAATCAAGTCCTACAGTAACTTTGATCTTAGATTTATCAGGATATCAATTAAAAACATCCAATCAGATAGTTGTTTATCGTTGTTTTATTGACTAAGCTAAGATTTATCTAAAAATTCCTAGGAAACACTCGGCAACGATCTCGACGAAGGAGACAACGAGTACGTTGGACTGTGCAAATACGCGTTGAGGTTTGATTTCGATGAGAAACTAAGAACAAAACATAGAAATTGAATCAATTTCACTTTAAAGATGAGTTTTTGCAAGTTAAAAAGCCCATTTCCAGATCCCTCTGCACTTTGCTGCACTATAAAATGGATGGCCGAGGCCCTCGCATATCTTGAATAGATCAAGGTGAGTTGATTTTGAAAAATTACTTCTAAAATCTAATAATTAGTAGCTTCTAAATAAAAGCTATCTTTAATATTTTTAATGCTTTTAATGTTTTTAATGTTTAAGATAGATTTTGCGTATAAAAGAGCTGTATCTGTCTGTTTGTTTGTGCGCGCTATTCCGCGATATTAGTTTTAGGTACTATCCACTATATAAAGCAGAAGAGACGTCTGTCTGTCTATCTGTCTGTCTGTCTGTTTGTCTGTCTGTTTGTCTGTCCGTCCGCCTGTCTGTCTGTCCGTCTGTCTGTCCGTCTGTCTATCTGTCTGTTTGTCCATATGTCTGTCCGTCTGTCTGTCTGTTTGTCTGTCCGTTCGTCCGTCTGTCCGTCTGTCTGTCTGTCTGTCTGTCCGTCTATCTATCTGTCTGCTTGTCTATCTGTCTGTCTGTCTGTTTGTCTGTGCGCTACTCCTCATCCAGAGGACCGTTTTAAATAGCTTATAGTTAATTTGGCTTAGAATTCCATCTAGAATTCCAACATGCTTTTAAATTCTTAAAAAACCAAAATTGCCGACGTGAGCTGGAGTCGAAGCGGGGTCATGTGGGCTAGAGACAAATGCGCTTGCACTGCGCCATCTACTAGCCGAGTGGTTAACGCGAGCGTCTCTCAAACGAACGATAGAGAAAGGTCACCGATTCGACTCCTCTCGCCGCCAATTCTTTCTGTTTTTTCCAAAAGCTGCTGATTTTAGGACATTTCTAGAATCAGCAGCTTTTCCAGATTTCCAGATCTCATTTCCAGATTCTCCAAAGCTCTCCTAGCTTGTGCTCGCGAGTTAGAAACTGATCGAAGTAGCAGTTTGACGAGAGCGAAGAACATCCTCGAAATCGCCTTTTTTGCTTCACAGGAGGTCAATTTTTATGGAAATTTTTCTGCTTTAAAAATTGCTAATAAAAATGAAAAGCTTAGCGAAGAATTTGCCATTTTCAGCGCTTCGAAACCGAGTACACGGCAAAGTTGTGGCTCGATGCGCAACGAGCTGATTGTGTGGCGAATATGGTGAGTCACATTTCGATCAATTTCATATTTGATATCTAAATAATAGCTTATTTTATATTATTTAAGCTTTTGCTTACAATTTGCTCACAATTAGTGGTTTTTTTTGAACTGAAAAACTTTCAAATTATCTTCTTAATGTGCGAAAATTGTGTGGTTTTTGAATGGTTTGATTTCTGTTTTCGTGAGCTTTATTTTCAGGAGATAGTTTAGGAGGTAGGAGAGAAGTACCCATATTGGAACCATATTAGAACCATATTGGAACCATATCCGAACCGTATCCGAACCATGTTGGAACCGTATCGAACCGTATCCGAACCATATTGGAACCATATTGGAACCGTATCCGAACCATATCGGAACCATGTTGGAACCGTATCGAACCGTATCCGAACCATATTGGAACCATATTGGAACCGTATCCGAACCGTATCCGAACCATGTTGGAACCGTATCGAACCGTATCCGAACCATATTGGAACCATATTGGAACCATATTGGAACCGTATCCGAACCATATCGGAACCATGTTGGAACCGTATCGAACCGTATCCAAACCATATTGGAACCATATTAGAACCAAATTAGAACCAAATTAGAACCAAATTAGAATCAAATCAGAACCAAATTAGAACCAAACTAGAACCAAATTAGAACCAAATTAGAACCAAATTAGAACCAAATTAGAACCAAACTAGAACCAAACTAGAACCAAATTAGAACCAAATTAGAACCAAATTAGAATCAAATTAGAAGCAATTCCAGGTTCGTCGCCTCGTCGATCACCCAGATTCGTGGCCGTTGCGTGATCGTTTTCAAGTCGATTTTCTTCTCTCCATCGCTCCCCGCGGGCTACAATTGGCTTTCATTTCTTTAAGTAATACCCATTTCTAAGCAATTTAAGATTTGAGCTATTTCCAAGCCGTTTCCAAGTTGTTTCCAAGCTGTTTCCAAGCGAAAAGCTTGAGTTTTTTCTCCCGAGAGCCACTTTTCTCGCTTCATCCTTTAAAAAAAGATTTTTTTTAACCTTTTCACATTTTGATTTAGTTTCCTATACCCAATTTTCTCTACAATTTATAAATTCAAATTTACTTTGCTTTAAATTTACATGATTTTCGAACATTTTCCCCATATTTGTCCCATTCATTAGTTTTTAAAAAAAAAAAAAATTACCGGTGCTTTTCTTTCCAAAGATTTTCCTTTAAATTTCCCTTTAAATTTTCCTTTTTCTTCCAAATTTGCTCATTTTTTTTCGCGTTTTACATGTCTATTTGAATATTTATACGGAAATTACAAACTTTTTATGTTTTAGAAATAAAATTTGAGATCAATCACTTGAAATCAAATGATCTGATAGAAATGATGATAGAAATTTGAAAAAAAAAAACACTCAAACTACATTTGTACAGATTTTCTAAGTGATTTTGACGTTTAAAAGATGAAAATTAATTGTTGGTTTTCAAAAAAATAGATAGTTTATCAATTTTTCGATTAGTTACAATGATTTCAAAGGTATGGACTTTAGGATAAAAGCGAAAGACACCCCTTTTAGCCTACTGTAGCCTACAACAGTACTAAATAGAACTTGCCAGAGTCACTCACTCAATGATTAGGCATTTAAAAAGACAAATCAACGAGAGGTTTTTCGATCAACGTACTTCATTCGGAGAATTTGCGGCAACGTGATAGCTATTTTTGAAGTGTTTGGCTTGGATTGACAAGAATTTGTTGAAAAGCAGCTTTAAACAGCTTTTGTCTAGAAATATTTGAACAGTTTTTACTTACAAATCCTCCTGGAAATGCCCAATTCATCGTTACTAGAAAAACAAAAATTTCGACTCAACTGGATCTGGATTAAGGGCTTAACGGATTTTTAATGACTACCTTTTGACACTTCTATATCTCCTCAATCTATCTCTTATAATAAAACTCTTATAAATCCAATCGATTCCAAAATGTTCAGCCGACGCTTTGATCGAAACGTTCTTGTCCATCTTTGCAGCTGCAGCTGCAGTTTTGTTTTTGTCTTGATAGTTTTTCTTTTTATCTCTCCTTTTTCTGTCCATAGTTTCGCTATCATCTTCTCGTTCTTCTTCCGTATCGATGTTAAAATGCTCCCGACTTTCTTCAAAATGTTTGTCAAGAGCGTCGTCGCGTTGTCACGTTCAAAACAGCTCTAACTCTAGCTCATTTTCTTATCGCATTCAAAACAGCTCTAGCTCTAGTTCGTTTTCTTGTCGCCTTTGAAACAGCTGTAGCTCTAGCTCTAGCTCGTTGTCTGGCCGCCTTTGAAACAACTCTATCTCTAGCGCATTGTCTTGTCGCATTCGAAACAACTCTAGCTCTAGCTCGTCGCCTCGTGGCGTTCAAAACAGCTCTATCTCTAGCGCATTGTCTTGTCGCATTCAAAACAGCTCTAACTCTAGCTCGTCGCCTCGTGGCGTTCAAAACAGCTCTAGCTCCAGCTCATTGCCTTGTCGCATTCGAAACAACTCTATCTCTAGCTCGTCGCCTCGTCGCATTCAAAACAACTCTAACTCGTCAACAATTTCACTCATCGTACCCGAAAATTATGTACTAAAAGTACAAAAATCTATAATTTGCAAAACTTTCCAATAAACTAAACTCAAATTTGGCATCGAAAATCTCGTTTTATTTTATAAACCGTTGTCGCTCTCATTCACAAACTGACGTCAAAGTGCTCATTTTATCAAGAAAAAGCATTTTATTTCTCAAAAATCCCCAAGGAATCATTAAATCTTTGTTTTCTTTCAAAAAAAAAGAAAGTTTTGCTCAAACTTTGCGCAAATTACCGCCTTTGCGGCTAATTATTATAGAACAGCTAATTATTCGAAGCTTTGAGGAGAAGAATTTCCAATTTCCAATATTAACTTGAGTTGAAATTTTATTGAAATTGAAAACTCACAGCTTGCCCCAGAATGCACCTTGTCTACAGCTTGGCATATGTGATTTTTCGACTTTGTCTGGCTTTTGCCGATTTATCCTTTTCCATTTACTCGATTTGGATGACATGCAGACGATGGAGTTATTTGCATAGAAATTTTCGGTGAGAAAAAGATTTTGATTGGATTCGTTTTTGATCACAAAGCTGATCACAAGCCAACACTAAGCTTTGACTTCTTTTAGCTTTTGCCAGCATCTCTAGATCTGGCTCTGGCTCTAGCTCTATCTTTTAGTCATAGCAAAATTTTGGTTTAACTTTGCTATCGTTTGCAGTATACATTCCAAAACGAGAGTTGTTTCAAAGACAAATTTTCGGTTGTTTCAAAGACAACTAGGGCAGCTAGGCCAACTAGGGCAGCTAGGCCAACTAGGGCAGCTAGGCCAACTAGGGCAGCTAGGCCAACTAGGGCAGCTAGGCCAAGCTAGGGCAGCTAGGCCAACTAGGGCAGCTAGGCCAAGCTAGGCCAACTAGGGCCAAGCTAGGCCAACTAGCTGGGCCAAGCTAGGCCAACTAGCTGGGCCAAGCTAGGCCAACTAGGCCAAGCTAGGCCAACTAGGCCAAGCTAGGCCAACTAGGCCAAGCTAGGCCAACTAGGCCAACTAGGCCAAGCTAGGCCAACTAGGCCAAGCTAGGCCAAGCTAGGCCAACTAGGCTAACTACGGCCAAGCTAGGCCAACTAGGCCAACTAGGCCAAGCTAGGCCAACTAGGCCAAGCTCTAGCCTTCTAAGAAAATCCGTAATCTAAATCTAAGCTATCAACTCATCTGAATCTCATCCATCAAAATCTCATTCAGATGCCTTGTTTGCTCAACTTGTACCTCGTGCCTTATTGTTTCCGGTTCACTTATTTTATTCCTAATTGGTCAAATTTTCGATTCCCATTTTTTAATAGTAAGTTTTACTCATAAGAGAGAAAAGTTTTGATGACAAAGCTGATGAACAAAGCCAACACCAAGCTTTAACTTCTTTTTGTCTTTTGCCCGCATCTCTAGATCAAGTATGAAAATTTTTCATTGAATTTGAATGGATAAAGTTTGAGAAAACTTTTTCCATTCAAATTCAATGACGTTTTCTTATAAAATAAGGCAATGAAACTGATTTTAATGTTTCCAAATCTTCTCTACTAGATTATAATTTGAAAAATTGTCTGTCTGTTTGTTTGTTTGTTTGTTTGTTTGTTTGTTTGTTTGTTTTTTTGTCATTTATTTCTTCAGTTTACCAGGTTTTCATTTGTGATCTCCATATTCGCCAAAATACCGAAATTGGGTTCCAATTTGTGTCCCAGAGTTGACGAAAAAGCTCACAACGTGACGCTAGCTTAAAGATGAATTTGGGAAAAGTGTATCAAATCAAAAGTGTCAAATCAAAAGTGTCAAATCAAAAACTTATTCAAAAACTATGAAAGTGTGATAGCCATAGCGGAAAAAAGGCGCTTGGAGTCGAGAAAGTTTAGTGACAAAATTTTGAGGGGATGGCGCTGAACAGATTGAAGAAAGTCGTCTCAGAAAAGGAAACAGAAAAACCTCATTCTTGTGCCTCTTCCACCCTCTTCCCTCCAGGGAAATACCTCCACATTTTCCTTTTTTCACACGATTGAAGAAAGTCGTCTCGGAAAGTCGTCTCAGAAAGTCTTCAACAACTTTTTTGTATACTAGCAAATACTATCAAATATCAAATTTTGTTTCAAATCAAATCACGTCCATCCAAATCAATGGTAGTATCTTGTAGAGCAAGGATCTGCCTCTAACCAAGAATAATCGAAGGAGTTTAAATTAAGTGGATTTCAGTGATTATCTGGCATTTCTTCCAGTCAGCTTTTTGTTTCATTCACAATCTAACTTTAAACTTAATCTTGGCGCTATCTATCTAGCTACCTTGGCGCTATCTACCTAGCTATCTTGGCGCTATCTATCTAGCTATCTTGGCGCTATCTACCTAGCTATCTTGGCGCTATCTATCTAGCTATCTTGGCGCTATCTACCTAGCTATCTTGGCGCTATCTATCTAGCTATCTTGGCGCCATCTATCTAGCTATCTTGGCGCTCAGTTGTTAGTTTAAAATAGTTTTGGTATGATTAGACTCGTCATGTCTTCCTCTGTCGATTGATACAAAAACCCCGTCCATCCAAACCAATGGTAGTATCTTGTAGAGCAAGCAAGCAAGTACGCAAGGTTTGCCTCTAAAATTGACTAAACCAAGAATAATCTAAGGAGTTTAAATCAAGTGGATTTCAGTGATTATCTGGCATTTGTTCCAGTCAGCTTTTTGCTTCATTCACAATCTAACTTTAAACTCAAATATCTTGGCGCTCAGTTGCTGGTTTAAAATAGTTTTGGTATGATTAGACTCCTCATGTCTTCCTCTATCGATTGATACAAAAATCATTTCAATCCAATCAACGAGAGAGAAATAACAAGTAATCATAGTTGTTGCAATAGTTTTGGTAGGTAGGTAGATTTCAGAGGGTATCTGGCATTTGTTCCAGTCAGCTATTTGCTTGATTGACAATCTAACTTTAAACTCGAATATCTTGGCGCTCAGTTGCTGGTTTAAAATAGTTTTGGTAGCATTAGACCCGTCATGTCTTCCTCTATCGATTGATACAAAAATCATTCCAATCCAATCAACGAGAGAGTAATAACAAGAAATCATAGTTGTTGCAATAATTTTCGGAAACTCTGTAAAACGTCTAACTAGAGTTAACCGGAGGAGAAGGCGGTTGAGTAGCCAAATATTGAAAATATCTTTCAACTTCTTACGTTTTTGATCTCAAATGTGTAAATTTCTGGAAATAAATAAACTGACGGGAGTTTAGGAAAGAATGAAGAAATGAAGTTTAGGAAAGAATGAAGAGTTTTGTATGCAATTGTACGCACTTGCACGCAAGTGTACGCCATTGTACGCAAGTGTACACCATTGTACGCAATTGTACGCAATTCTACGCAATTCTACGCAATTGTACGCAATTGTACGCACTTGTACGCAATTGTACGCACTTGTACGCAATTGTGCGCAATTGTACGCCAGTGTACGCAATTGTACGCAATTGTACGCAATTGTACGCAAGTGTACGCCATTGTACGCAAGTGTACGCAAGTGTACGCAAGTGTACGCAATTGTATGCAATTGTACACAATTGTACGCAATTTGGTAATTGGTAATTCCGAAGGTTAATGCAGATTTTCGAAAAGCAGCTTCAAATCAGCTTCAAATCAGCATCAATCAATCAATCAATCACTCAATCAGCTTAGCTTCAAATCAAAAGTGTTTTACTTGCTAGGAATATCCGTGTTTTACGTATTTCTTCGGGATTTACGCGGACGCTTTCTCGACTTTTTTAATCACAATCGAGCGTGGAGTGGCTACAGTACAAGCGAAAGATTATGAGGCAAAGAAGAGGAATCTTTACCTCAATTTTTTCTTATTTCTCCTGCCGGTCAGTTTTTCTAGTTCCAGTTTTTCAGAAAGAGTATGTTTCTAAGCTTTCAAAGTACAAGAGCTTTTGAGCTCATGTACTTTGAATAAGCTTTATTCAAAGCACTCAGTTCTCCTGCAGCGGGCTCTTCATCTGGATCTACTACTCGGAAATCAGTAAGTTTTTTTGTTTAAATTATTCGTATTGTAATGAGCTCTTGATATCATAGAATGATTTTTGTTAAAACCGAAAACTTTCAAGATTTAGTTCCGTTTGCTGACGTGATTAGCAGTGTCCTTTTTGCGATGATCGCTCTTGGTTGTCTTATGGTTGGAATTTTTAAGCTTTCACGATAATTTTTTAGATTTAAGTGCTTTAGAATTAGTTATTTGTTAGAGTTTTCTAATTGGTTTTCCAGGAAAGCCTCGTCCTCTACTTTCACAACAAGAAAGCGTTGAGCACAAGGAATGAGAAACATTTGACGTTGTCTGCTAAGTGAGTGTTCAGCTAAACGAACGACTGTAGGCCAGGGTTAGAAGGGATCCAAGCCTGGTTTTTGGCGAGGCTTGGGCTTGGGCTTGGGGTTAGGCTCAGGCTCAGGCTCAGGCCCAGGCTTAGGCTCAGGCTCAGGCTTAGGCTTAGGCTTAGGCTTAAGCTTAGGCTCAGGCTCAGGTTCAGGCTTAGGTTTAGGCTTGGGATTGGGCTTGGGCTTAGGCTTAGTCTCAGGCTTAGGCTTAGGCTTAGGCTTAGGCTCAGGCTCAGGCTTAGGCTTAGGCTTAGGCTTAGGTTTAGACTTAGGCTTAGGCTTAGGCTTGGGCTTAGACTTAGGCTTAGACTTAGGCTCAGGCTTAGGCTTAGGCTTAGGCCTATGCTTAGGCCTGGGCTTAGGCTTTGGCTTGCAGTTAGTGCGAAGGCTAGCGTCTCGCACTAAGTCTATTTGGGTTTGGGCTGAACCCCCATTTTCTAGAGCTCAACCAGTTTAGGCTTGGGCTTGGGCTTAGGTTTTTGCCTGTCTTAGTCTTTGAAGCAGCCTTGTCACTCGACAAGTCACTGACTCAATAATCTCAATAAAGCTCATTCTTTTCAGATTTCAATACTCTGAAAACTTTTCCTTATCGAAAACTTTCCTCTTCGTCACTGCAAACGATTTACTAACCTGGGTGATTCTATCAATTCTCTATTATTTCGCTTCACTTTTACAAAATGGAACGACATTATTAGTTTCGTATGACAATTGGATCATGGATCTTTGTGATTCGGTGAGTGATTGATTGAGCAAAAGCATATCGCTAAGCTTTGGCTGGCTGAATTACCCAATGACCTTTATTCCAAGGATTTTCTTCAAACAAAAAGCTCTAAACTGACTTGCCCCAATAAACTCTTTCAAATCCAACTATTTCCAAGAAAAGTCGTTTATATTATCATACTTGACTGGTTTTAAGTAAAAATTTCTTTAAAAAGCACAAAATCATTTTCGAAAAAGGCTGATTCGATTGTTCTTTGAGTATATTGAGCCCTAGTTCCAACCGGACAACTGAATATCTTATTGATTAAGCTTGCTTTATTCTAAAAAAGGTATGGGATCTGGTATTGATATTGAATTCTTGCAAAAATCGTTGTTGGGTTGTTAAAGGACTACTTAGAGCAACTATTTACTTGGTTTTTGTACTTTTCTGTGATCAAACAGACCAAATTTCTTTTATTCATTGATGAAAACTTGACACTAATTAACCCAATAACTCTTGAAGCCCAATAACTCTTGAAGCCCAATAACTCTTGAAGCCCAATAACTCTTGAAGCCCAATAACTCTTGAAGCCCAATAGCTCTTGAAGCCCAATAGCTCTTGAAGCCCAATAGCTCTTGAAGCCCAATAGCTCTTGAAGCCCAATAGCTCTTGAAGCCCAATAGCTCTTGAAGCCCAATAGCTCAATAGCGCTAGAATCAAATTTCAGCTCTGAAAGCTTAACGAGAATTTGTAAAAAACTCAATTTATTCAACCTCTTCTATTTCTAGGCAAACAACAGCGAAAAAGGCAATAAAAAGTCACTTCAAGTGGTTAACATTAGGCGTATTGATGCGTTTCTTGTGTTGAGCTCTAAATCTAATGATCTATTGGTAAATAATTGCAATCTATTGAAATCTATCGATTAAACCTGTATATTTTTGAACAATTTCCACACGAAGAGCACAAAATTCCAATTTTTAGCTAAAAACAAGCTTTCAATTCACCATTCCTGTATCTTTTCCCGGAAAAAAAACCAAACGATTTCCAGACTTGAACACCTTAAACCTTTCTTTTTTGAGTTGAGTTCATCTATTCCATTTTAGAGTCGATTTTAGAGTCCATCTCAATCTCTATTTCATTTTAGAGTCGATTTTAGAGTCCATCTCAATCTCTATTTCATCTTAGAGTCGATTTTAGAATCCATCTCAATCTCTATTCCATTTTGGAGTCCATTTCCATCTCCATTCTATTTCCCTGAGCTCTTTTTAAGTGTGATTTCAAGTACTCGAGAATCTTAGCTGGTAAAAAATCGCTGGTAAAACGTTCAAAGTGATTCACCGGGTGAAGACAAAAATGCAAGATTTAAATCTAACTCAAGTTATGCAAAAGATTCCATTAAAATCTTTAGGTTTACCTCGAGAAATGTTTCGTTTTCTATATGGCTCTCTATTTCTCACATCGTAAATATGTGCGTCGATCGAATCGCGTTCGCCCGGAGCCCTTAAAAATCACCTCGCATCTTCACTTTGGTTCGCTGAAAGACTCGTGGGAGAATCGAATTGATCGACGTTTTTCGTATCGATGATTAGAGCTAAACTTGTTCTATGAAAACCTTATCAAAACCAAAACCAAAGCTTATCAAAAGCAGAACTTAAACTCTATCAAAACTAAAACAAAGCAAAAAACAAAGCCAAAAACAAAGCCAAAAACCAAAACCAAAACCAAAACCTTTTATGATTTTGATAAGTTTTCATAGCTTAAGTCTAATTAGAACTCGTTTTTATATAAATTTTTTCATTTCACTAATAAATCTGTGATTCTAGCTCAGAGTTTTATTAAAAGATAAAGCAAAAAAAGAAAATGTGAAAAACAGGTTTACTTTCTTGGAGGTAAACTTTATTTATAAACAAATTAATTAAAATTTTAGTCAAAATTGTAATCTGTTCTTGAAAACTGAACCTTAACATCTCATCTTATCACCAAAAAATCGTCGAGCTTAGTTGGAAACTTCTGCTCCACGCACCTTATAGTCCGGACCATCAGATTATTTTTTGTTTCGGTCGTTGAAGAGTTTTCATATGGGAGAAAAGTTCGAGAATCATGCACAGATCAAAAAAGGCTTTCGACACTTATTTTGGCTCGAAAACTCCCCATTTTTTTGAGGATGGGACGAGGGAATTGCGACGAAGATGGGAACAAGTTATCAATAATAATGGAGAATATCTCATCGATCGATGTGCGTTTTTTTTATGTTTTTAGCAATAAACAGTTTTGTGACAGAAATCGAAAAAACAGAAACCTTACTTTTTCCTCAACCTAATAGCTCAGAGTTTTATCAAAACATAAAAAAAAACAAAAAATTGTGAAAAACAGGTTTACTTTCTTCGAGCTAAACTTTATTTATAAACAAATCAATTAAAATTTTAATCAAAATTGTAATCTGATCTTGAAAACTGAACTTTAACCTCTTGAAAAGTCTCTAAAAACGGAAAACAGCGAGCAAATTTGAGTGAAAGAAGGTAAGAAAAGGTCAGGCTTAGGCTTAAGCTTAGGCTTAAGCTTGGACTTAGGCTTGGGTTTAGGCCTGGGCTTAGGCTTAGGCTTGGGGTTAGGCTTGGGGTTAGGCTTGGGGTTAGGCCTGGGCTTAGGCTTAGGCTTAGGCTTAGGCTTAGGCTTAGGCTTAGGCTTAGGCTTGGGGTTAGGCTTGGGGTTAGGCTTGGGGTTAGGCCTGGGCTTAGGCTTAGGCTTAGGCTTAGGCTTAGGCTTAGGCTTAGGCTTAGGCTTGGGGTTAGGCTTGGGGTTAGGCTTGGGGTTAGGCCTGGGCTTAGGCTTAGGCTTAGGCTTAGGCTTAGGCTTAGGCTTAGGCTTAGGCTTGGGGTTAGGCTTGGGGTTAGGCTTGGGGTTAGGCTTGGGGTTAGGCCTGGGCTTAGGCTTAGGCTTAGGCTTAGGCTTAGGCTTAGGCTTGGGGTTAGGCTTGGGGTTAGGCTTGGGGTTAGGCTTGGGGTTAGGCCTGGGCTTAGGCTTAGGCTTAGGCTTAGGCTTAGGCTTAGGCTTGGGGTTAGGCTTGGGGTTAGGCTTGGGGTTAGGCTTTAGGGTTAGGCTTAGGTTTTTGCCTATCTTTGCCTTTAAAGCAGCCATATCAGTCAAGAAGTTATAGTTTAGTTTTTGTTTGAAAAACTCTTTTTAAAAGTTTGAAAGCTCGATGCCGCCATTTCATACTTCTCAATTCAATAAAACTTGTTCAAAATCCAAACCAAAACCAAAACCTTTTATGATTTTTGATAAGTTTTTGATAGCTTAAGTCTAATAAGAACTCGTTTTTATATAAATTTTCCCATTTCACTAATAAATCTGTGATTCTAGCTCAGAGTTTTATCAAAAAATAAAAAAAAACAAAAAAATTGTGAAAAACAGGTTTACTTTCTTGGAGGTAAACTTTATTTATAAACAAATTAATTAAAATTTTAGTCAAAATTGTAATCTGATCTTGAAAGCTGAACTTTAACATCTTGAGAAGTCCCCAGAAACGCAAAACACAGAGAACAAATTTGAGTGAAAAAAGGAAAAAGGAAAACAAATGTGGCTAATGAATACAAAAACCGTGCTGAGAAAGGGTTCTCTGTAAGTAATAATGGCTGATTTTCTTTTAAAATTTGAAAAACTTGCTAAAAACTGGCAGAAAACTGGCTAAAAACACTGAAAATTGCTTTAAAACAATCTTATAATGAATAAAAAATCGAAATTTATTTAAATCTCGATGTCTTTTTTTGTTTTAAGCTCCTGCTTGTGATCTATGTGCTTAAAATTGCTTAATTTTTGTTTTAATTGCCAATTTAATTGCCAATTTCTCAATGTCTTTCATTTTCTCACATTTCTAACAATAAACTTCGCTTTTGCTGAATCTTTTGCTGAAATGAAAGCCATTTTTCATCAAATAAAGGAAACTTGATTAACAAATTGCCTTCTACAAGTTAATTAACAGTGAAAGTTAATTAAAAAATTGCCTAAAATGTTTTCCTGAACTTTTAGACACGGGAAAAAAACTTCGGAAACGAGTTTTTTCTTGAATAATTAATTGATTAGTCAATTCATTTAGTTAAAATAAACGACTAAGTGATGCTTTGCCTTTTCAAACTGCCGTAAATAGTCTATAAGCTAGCTATTCTATAAGAGAGCTATTCTATAAGCTAGCTATTCTAGAAGCTAGCTATTCTAGAAGCTAGCTATTCTAGAAGCTAGCAATTCTATAAGATAGCTATTCTAGAAGCTAGCTATTCTAGAAGCTAGCTATTCTAGAAGCTAGCTATTCTATAAGATAGCTATTCTAGAAGCTAGCTATTCTAGAAGCTAGCAATTCTATAAGATAGCTATTCTAGAAGCTAGCTATTCTGAAGCTAGCTATTCTAGGAGCTTGGCTATTCGAGGCTAGCTATTCTATAAGATAGCTATTCTAGAAGATAGCTATTCTAGAAGCTAGCTATTCTAGAAGCTAGCTATTCTAGAAGCTAGCTATTCTAGAGCTAGCTATTCTAGAAGCTAGCTATTCTAGAAGCTAGCTGTTCTATAAGATAGCTATTCTATAAGCCAGCCAAATGTTCAACAAAGCATTTATTTGCGTTTTATCATCAAATCAAAACATTTTTCATTTTTTTCAAGAAAACTTTTTCCATTTTTGACATTTCTCAGATGCCTTTTTCATAAAAATTTTGAAACTTTTCAATTCCATTGTAGCTTTTCCTTCTCTCTGTGATCAAACAGACCAAATTTCTTTTATTCATTGATGAAAACGTGACACTAATTAACCCAATAGCTCTTGAAGCTCTTGAAGCCCTTGAAGCTCTTGAAGCCCAATAGCTCAATAGCGATAGAATCAAATTTCAGCTCTGAAAGCTTAACGAGAATTTGTAAAAAACTCAATTTATTCAACCTCTTCTATTTCTAGGCAAACAACAGCGAAAAAGGCAATAAAAAGTCTAATTTAAAGGACTACTTAGAGCAACTACTTATTTGATTTTTTAACTTTTGTCTGTGATCAAACAGACCAAATTTCTTTTATTCATTGATGAAAACTTGACACTAATTAACCCAATAACTCTTGAAGCCCAATAGCTCTTGAAGCTCTTGAAGCCCAATAGCTCTTGAAGCCCAATAGCTCTTGAAGCCCAATAGCTCTTGAAGCTCTTGAAGCCCAATAGCTCTTGAAGCCCAATAGCTCTTGAAGCTCTTGAAGCCCAATAGCTCTTGAAGCCCAATAGCTCTTGAAGCTCTCGAAGCCCAATAGCTCTTGAAGCCCAATAGCTCTTGAAGCCCAATAGCTCTTGAAGCCCAATAGCTCTTGAAGCCCAATAGCTCTTGAAGCCCAATAGCTCTTGAAGCCCAATAGCTCTTGAAGCCCAATAGCTCTTGAAGCCCAATAGCTCTTGAAGCCCAATAGCTCTTGAAGCCCAATAGCTCTTGAAGCCCAATAGCTCTTGAAGCCCAATAGCTCAATAGCGCTAGAATCAAATTTCAGCTCTGAAAGCTTAACGAGAATTTGTAAAAAACTCAATTTATTCAACCTCTTCTATTTCTAGGCAAACAACAGCGAAAAAGGCAATAAAAAGTCTAATTTAAAGGACTACTTAGAGCAACTACTTATTTGATTTTTTAACTTTTGTCTGAGATCAAACAGACCAAATTTCTTTTATTCATTGATGAAAAATTGACACTAATTAATCCAATAGCTCTTTTTTCTGAGAATCGTTTGTTTTTTAGAAAGCTGAAACTACAGAAAGGACGTTTTTCTGTAAAATTGTAGGGTTAATTGTAAAGAATTTGCGCCGAAGAGCTTTGGAGATTTGTAGCTAAGAATGGACGATAGACAAATCAGATTGTTGATTTTTGTTTAAGTATCAAAATAAAGTAGAGAAGATGGGTGATGTTTTGAGATATAAAACAGATTTTTAGCACAAACCAGTGCTTAGAAGAAAGTGATTGAAAATTGGCGATTGGTTTTTAGGTAGTATTTTTTGGATAGTACTTTTTGGATAGTACTTTTTGGATAGTACCTTTTGCGTACGAATGGCTAAACACAATCTTTCTGGCGCACTAGAAACTCGCACTGGCACTAGCCAAAATCGCTTGTAAAGCATGTACTTTATGCTCTGAATGAATGTTGCTAAAAACAAGCCTTCAATTCACCATTCCTGTGTTCATTTTCCGAAAAAAAACCAAACCATTTCCAGACTTGAACACCTTAAACCTTCCTTTCTTGAGTTGAGCTCATCTATTCCATTTGTTTAGCTGCAAGTTTTGTTTGTATCTCAATAGATTTCCTTTTCTTTTCTTTTTATTCCTCCTTTTTCTGTGCATAGTTTCGCTATGGACAGAGTTCTCGTTTCCTCCGTATCGACATTAAAATTCTTCCGACTTTCTTCAAAATGTTTGTCAAGAGCGTCCTCGCCTCGTCGCGTTCAAGAAAACTCTAATTCTAGCTTGTTTTCTTGTCGCATTCAAAGCAACTCTAACTCTAGCTCGTTGTCTTGTCGCATTCGAAATAACTCTAGCTCTAACTCGTTGTCTTGTCGCCTTTGAAACAACTCT